GTCCGGACCCCAGCCCCTCCTCCCTCAGACCCAGGAGTCCGGACCCCCAGCCCCTCCTCCCTCAGACCGAGGAGTCCAGGCCCCCAGCCCCTTTATCTCTCAGACTCTGGAGTTTGGGCCCACCATCTCCTCTTTTCTCAGACCCAAGAGTCTGGACCCCCCATCCCATCATTTACCCACAGCCAGGGCCGGGCAAATCCTCCACATCATCTCAAGGAAGGAGAAAGTGGGCGGCAGGATGAGGCCAATTACTCCTACAAGAAAAAAAAAATGAGGCGAGAGAATTCCTTGAGGCTGGGAGTTCAAGACGAGCCTGGGCCACATGGCAAGACTCCATCACTACAAAACATTAAAAAAACAGTCGGGTGTTCTGGTGCACGGTTGTAGTCCCAGTTACTTGGGAGGCTGAGGTGGGAGGATCTCAAGCCCAGAAGGTCGAAGCATCAGTCAGCTATAATTGCACCACTGCACTCTAGCCAGGGTGACAGAGTAAGACCCTGTCTGAAAAAGAAAAAGAAAAACAAAAACAAAAGAAAAAGAATGAGGGGGCCGGGCACAGTGGCTCACACCTGTAATCTCAGTACTTTGGGAGGCCGAGGCAGGCAGATCACAAGGTCAGGAGTTCGAGACCAGCCTAAACAACATGATGAAACCCCATCTCTACTAAAAATACAAAAATTAGCCAGGCATGATGGGACATGCCTGTAATCCCAGCTACTCAGGAGAATCGCTGGAACCAGGGAGCTTGAGGGTGCAGTGAGCCGAGATTGCGTCATTGCACTCCAGTCTGGGCAACAAGAGCGAAACAGTCTCAAAGAACAAAAAGAAGAAGAATGAGGGCTCTGGGGCTGGCACTGCTAGGTCATGAGAGGGCTAGGGGCTGGGACTCCAGGGTCTTACCCATGGGCTCCCAGCCTGCCAGTGCCTCCTCCTGGGTGGATGCCTGGATTGCATGGTAGTGGAGCAGCTGCTGGGCCAGCTGGACGTCCCCATCCCTAACCTCTCGAACAACTCTGCCAGTCACCAGGGATTCCAGGGTCCACAGCAGCCGCTGGTGTTTCTGGATCACCTTGGCAAGCCTGTGGAGAAAGCAAGAAGTTGCTCATTTTCCAATGGCCCTCAGCCTCAAAGAGTCCTGGGCTGCTCCTATATACCTGCATGACAATCCCCATGAGCCCCACCATTTACCTGGGGCAGAAGGCAGTGAAGATTTGTGGGAATTGTAGTCGTGGAAAAACAAACCCTGAGGATGCTGTGTAAAGGTTTTGGCCGCTGGTAAATCTCTGAAGCTTCTGGGAAATTGAGTCTTAACTTTTTTTTTTTTTTTTTGAGATGGAGTCTCCCGTCGCGCAGGCTGGGGTGTAATGGCTCGATCTCAGCTCACTGCCAACTCCACCCCCCCAGGCTCAAGCAATTCTCTTTCCTCAGCCACCCGAGTAGCTGGGATTACAGGCGTGCACCACTACGCCCAGGTAGTTTTTGGATTTTTAGTAGAGACGGGGTTTTGTCATGTTGGCCAGGCTGGTCTTGATCTCCTGACCTCAGGTGATCCACTCACCTTGGCCTCCCCAAGTGCTAGGATTACAGGTGTGAGCCCCTGCACCCAGCCTGAGTCTTAGCTTCTAATTTCAATGGCATTTTGGGAAATGGAATTTTTGTCTCTAGCTGCCCCCAAAGCAGCTAGGAAATTCACCAGCCCCAGAGAACTGCTGAGAAATGGAGCCTCCACGCGCTCCAAGGATGTCCTGGGAAATAGAAGCTTTGTGGCTTCTAGTCTCAGTGAACAGTGGAAAACACATGCAGGTTTTGGCCACTCCCGCCTCCAGCACATACGGGGAATCTGAGCCTTAGCTGCAAATTAATTCATTGGGATCTTGGGAAACAGTCTTTGTTCCCATGGTCTCGAGCGAATGCTAGGGGTCCCCGCCTCCCCGGGTCCACACCTCAGCTGCATCACCTGGTCAGATGCCGGCCCCGGGCGACTCCAGGCTGTGCACTCCAGCTCTTAAATGCTGTCCTGGCCGCCTCCACGGCTGCGGCTACATCCTCGGCCTGTGCTTGCAGGCAACTGGCCAAGGTCTCTCCTGGGAAGAAAAGTGGAGGGACTCAGATGAGAGGAGAGATGCGGGGAGCCCATGTCAGATCTGGAGGGGGTTGAGATTTTCGGAGCCTGGGGTCACCCTAAGGCTGTAAAGCTGGTCCCATTCTCTGCTGGGTCACGGCTACGGTCACTTCCAGAGCAAGGAAGGGATTTTCCCAGACGGCAGCTTCACAAAGCCTCCACAGAGACCCGGAACCATAATTGGGGCGACTGGTATCAGAAGGAACCAGACATCGTCGCCCCTCTCCCACCAGCAGCTGCTCCCTGCCCTCAGGCAAGGGGAATGGGTGTTGGTGGGTCGGGCTAGAGGCACACATCCCTCTCCTCCACTAATGACTGGAGGACATCTCGTACCTGTGACGGGATCCTGGCAAGGCACTGAATCCCTGTGTTCAGGCTTCAGCCACTTTCCGTTCACATAGTGGCCCAAGCACCAGTCCTGGGTGTCCAGCCAGGCCTGGAGGAGGGAGAGAGTTTGAAAAGGGGTCCGGGAGGAGCTGGGGCGGTTCAGCCCCTATCCAGAATCCTCTAGGAGGGAACATCCGTCTCCCTCTGCTCAGTCGGCTAATTCTTTTCCTCCTATTGCTTAAAAAAAAAAACTGTGGGGGCCGGGCGCGGTGGCTCACCCAGCACTTTGGGAGGCCGAGGCGGGTGGATCACGAGGTCAAGAGATCGAGACCATCCTGGTCAACATGGTGAAATCCCGTCTCTACTAAAAATACAAAAAATTAGCTGGGCATGGTGGCGCGTGCCTGTAATCCCAGCTACTCAGGAGGCTGAGGCAGGAGAATTGCCTGAACCCAGGAGGCGGAGGCTGCGGTGAGCCGAGATCGCGCCATTGCACTCCAGCCTGGGTAACAGGAGCGAAACTCTGTCTCAAAAAACAAAACAAAACAAACAAACAAAAACACTGTGGTAAAATACAGCATTTTAAAGTGCCGAGTTCAGCAGTGCGGTGGCATCTTGCACGTTTACAGCGTTCTGCAACCATCACCACTCTCTAGTTCTGGAACATTTTCTTTTTTGTTGTTTGAGACGGAGTTTCACTCTTTTGCCGAGGCTGGAGTGCAGTGGTGGGATCTCGGCTCACTGCAACTTCCGCCTCCTGGGTTCAAGTGATTCTCCTGCCTCAGCCTCCTGAGTAGCTGGGACTATAGGTGTCCACCATGCCCAGCTAATTTTTGTATTTTTGGTAGAGACAGTGTCACCATGTTGGCCAGGATGGTCTGGATCTCTTGACCTCGAGATCCGCCCGTCTCAGACTCCCAAAGTGCTGGGATTACAGGTGTGAGCCACCGCGCCCGGCTTGTTTTTTTGTTTTTTTGTTTTAGATGGACTCTTGTACTGTCTCACCCGGGCTGGAGTGCAGTAGCACTTGGCTCACTGCAACATCCTACTCCCGGGTTCAAGCAGTTCTCCTGCCTCAGTCTCCCAAGTAGCTGGGACTACAGGTGTCCGCCATCACGCCCAGATAATTTTTGGTATTTTTAGTAAAGATGGGGTTTCTCTATTTTGGCCAGGCTGGTCTTGAACTCCTGACCTTATGATCTGCCTGCCTCAGCCTCCCAAAATGCTGGGATTACAGGCGTGAGCCACCTGTGCCTGATCCTAATTTTGTATTTTTAGAAGAGACAGCGTTTCACCATGTTGGCTAGGCTTGTCTTGAACTCCTAACCTCAGGTGATCCGCCTGCCACGGCCGCTAAAACTGCTGAGATTACAGGTGTGAGCCACCGTGCCCGGCCTAGTTCTAGAAGATTTTCATCACCCCAGAAAGAAACCCTGTGCCCACTAAGCAGTCATTATGCTCCCCTCCGCATAGCCCCAGCAACCACTAATCTTCTTTCGGTCTCTACAAATTTGCCTATTCTGGATAGTTCATATAAAGATGATCACAGCCAGGCGCCGTGGCCCATGCCTGTAATCCCAGCACTTTCGGAGGCCAAGGCGGGTGGATCCTGAGGTCAGAAGATTGAGACCATCCTGGTCAACAAGGTGAAACCCCGTCTCTACTAAAAATACAAAAATTAGCTGGGCATGGTGGCGCTTCCTTGTAGTCCCAGCGACTCAGGAGGCTGAGGCAGGAGAATTGCCTGAACCCAGGAGGCGGAGGCTGCGGTGAGCCGAGATCGCACCATTGCACTCCAGCCTGGGTAACGAGAGTGAAACTCAGTCTCAGAAAAGAAAAAAAAAGAAGATTGCTTGAGCCTTGAACTCAGGTGTTCGAGGCTACCGTGAGCTGTGATCATGCCATTGTACTCCAGTCTGGGAAACAGAGTGAAACCTCGTCTCTACAAATAATAAAAGAAATTTGGGTCCGGGAGTGGTGGCTCACGCCTGTAATCCTAGCACTTTGGGAGGGTGAGGCGGGTGGATCACTTGAGGTCAGAAGTTCAAAACCAGCCTGGCCCACATGGTGAAACCCCATCTCTACTAAAAATACAAAACAATTAGCTAGGTGTGGTGGCGGGAGACTGTAATTCCAGCTGCTTGGGAGGCTGAGGCAGGAAAACAGCTTGAACCCAGAAGGCGGAGGTTGCAGTGAGCTGAGATCGCCCCACTTGCCTACGTGACAGAGCAAGATTCTGTCTCCAAAAAAATTAAAAAGTTCCAAACTCAAACACCCACAGGGAAGGAGACATTTGTGAGATAGTCAGGGATATTTGAACATGAATTGGCTATTAGATGACATTAAAGAATGATTGTTGGCCGGGCATGGTAGCTCACAGCTGTAATCCCTGTACTTTTCCATGCTGAGACGGGAGGATTGCTTGAGCTGAGGAGTTTGAGACCAGCCTGGACAGAAACAGCGAGACCCCATCTTTACAATAAAAAATTAAAAAATTTCCCAGTCATGGTGACACACACCTGTAGTCTCAGCTACTCAGGAGGCCGGGGCAGAAGGATTGCTTGAGCCCAGGAGTGCCAGGCTTCATTGACCTATGATTGCAATACTGAACACTAGCCTGGGCGACTGAGTAAGACCCTGTCTCAAACAAACAAAAAGAATGATTTAATGTCATTAAATGTGGTAACAGAGCATGGTAGTTATGTACCAAAATGAGTCCTTCTCTGTCAGAAAAAAGGATTCAAATATTTATAGGAAAATCAGATGACATCTGGGATTTGTTTAAATTACTCCAAAGAAAATACAGAGAGAAACAACACTGGACTCAATGTTGATGATGGTAGAAGTTGAGTGATGGCTAAATAGGGGTTCAAAATAAATACTAATTATTCTGTGGAAGTTGGAAAATTTTCCCCCAAAAGAAAAACAAAATTCCAGAAGAATGCGCAGGGCTCCAGAGGCCTGAGCAGAGGGCCTGGAGGGGAGCTGACAATTCATTGAAAAGACAGAAGCTATTGGTTCCAGATGATTTTTGTCTGGGAACTCGAGCCAAAGGTTGACATATTTTGGAATTTTATTTTCAAGAGGAGCTCCCGGATGTTTACATGGAATCAATTGTCCAGCATTTCACATCTTCAAAAGTAAAGTTCAGGCCAAAGAAAACATGTTTGTTGGTTGAGTCTGGCCCTCACACTGTACAGCTGAGAACTTTTCTGGTGTAAGCAAGACCATAGGTCTGGAATCCAAGGGCTCAAGTCCAAACCTCAGATTCACTTTTTATGTTTTATTTTTATATTAATAGAGATGAGGGTCTTGCCATGTTGTCCAGTCTGGTCTCGGACTCCTAGGCACAAGTGATCCTCCTGCCTCGGTCTCCCATACTGCTGGGATTATAGGTGTGAGCCAACTGCCTGGCCTCAACTTAATTTTTTTTCCTTTCTTTTTTTTTTTTTAAGATGAGGTTTCACCATGATGGCCAGGCTGGTCTTGAACTCCTGACCTCAGGTGATCCACCCACCTTGGCCTCCCAAAGTGCTAGGATTACAGGCGTGAGCCACCGTGCCCAGCCAACTTAATTTGTTTTGGGGGGGACAGGGTCTCATTCTGTCACCCAGGCTGGAGTTTAGTGGTATGATCACTGCACCTCCCAGGCTGAGGTGATCCTCCCACTTCAGCCTCCTGGGTAGCTGGGACTACAGCTATGCAGCGCCACACCCGGCTAATTTTTTTTTGTATTTTTTTTTTTTTTTTGGAGACAGAGTCTTGCTCTGTTGCCCAGGCTGGAGTGCAGTGGTGCAATCTTGGCTCACTACAACTTTCGCCTCCCAGGTTCAAGCGATTCTCCTGCCTCAGCCTCTTGAGTGCCTAGGATTACAGGCCCACACCACCACATCCAGCTAATTTTTGTATTTTAGTAGAGACGGGGTTTCACCATGTTGGCCAGGCTGGTCTTGAATTCCTGACCTCAGGTGATCTGCCCTCCTCAGACTCCCAAAGTGCTGAGATTACAGGTGTGAGCCACTGTGCCCAGCCCAAGTGCAGGTTTCTCTTAGTGGACTTTTTTTTTTTTTTTTTTTGAGACAGAGTTTTGCTCTTGTTGCCCAGGTTGGAGTGCAATGGTGCAATCTTGGCTCACCAAAACCTCCGTGTCCGGGGTTCAAGCGATTCTCCTGCCTCAGCCTCCCAAGTAGCTGCAATGTTTTTTATTTTAGTAGAGACCAGGTTTCACTATGTTGCCCAGGTTGGTCTCAAATTCCTGAGCTCAGGTGAGCCTCCCATCTCGGCCTCCCCATGTGCTGGGCTGTGCCAGGCTTCTGATCCAGTTCCTTCCACTTGGACCATTGCTCTGGTCTCCTGCCCTCCCATTCAAAGAAGACTAAGCTCCTCCCGCTGGGTGCTGGGGACCCTGGGGATCATGAGAGCTCCGTGAGGGAATTCTGAGAGCACCTGGGGAAATGACAGAAAGTTTGAGGTGCCCTACTTATTTGCAGGAACCCCCCGAAGGTTCTGGGGGCCTCTGAGGGATCATGGGAGACCTAGGGAGGGTCTGAGGACCCCCAAGGGATCATGGGACCCTCATGAGGACTTCAGGGGGGTCCTAAACAATCATGGGAACCCTATGGGACCTTCTGAGAGCTAGAGGGATCATAGGAGCCCCATGAGAGTATTATGAGGGGCCATAAGTAACTGCAGGAAGTCCTGATGTGGCCGGGCGCCGTGGCTCACCCCTGTAATCCCAGCACTTTGGGGAGGCCAAGGTGGGTGGATCTCTTGAGGCCAGCAGTTCGAGACCAGCCTGACCAACATGCTGAAACCCTGTCTCCACGAAAAGTATAAAAACTAGCTGGGAATGGTGGTGCGAATTTCTAGGCCCAGCTAGCTACTCGGGAGGCTGAGGTGAGAGAGGATCGTTTGAGCCCAGGAGGTCGAGGCTGCAGTGAGCTGTGATTGCGCCACCGGACTTCAGTCTTGGCGACAGAGACCCTGGCTCAAAAGCCAAAACAAAACAAAAAACAAACCGGGAAGTCCTGTTGTATTCTAGGCCCCTCAAAGTTCCCATGAGGTCACATGAGCCCCATGAGTATCACGGGGGCTCCATGGCAGTTCTGAAGGTCTCCGGGTACTCAAGGGGATCAAGGGAGTCCCTCGGGAGGTCTGGGGGCTCCGGAGGATCATGGAAGCCCTAGGATGTTTTGAGGAGTCGTAGAAAGACAATGGGGGTTGTGGGTCACCGGGGCCCCACAGGAATCCTAAGGGGGCTGGGGGATCGCGTCAGGTTCTGAGGGGGCCCTGAGGAATCACAAGAGCTTATAGAGGAGTTCGGGAAAAACGCGGAAACACCATGAAGAGTTCGGGACCAAAGGGCAAGAAACCACCGGGGATGATGGCAACAGACCAAAACGCTGAAGCAGCCACCGCCAAAGCTCAAGAAAGCGTCTCCCAGGGCGCGATCCTATTGGGCGGCGGGAATCACGGGGACTGAAAGAGGCGGAGCTGCTGAGCTGCCGCAATGGATGACGGGAGTCCGCGCGAAAAACCGGGAGCCCAGGGCGGCGGAACACAGCCTGCAGCGCCGGCCGGGCAGGCTCTCACCAGTGCGCATGTGTGGCTCTCCGGCACCGGTCCGTACTCCAGCGAGGTGAAGATCTCGCGGGCGTGAGGCGCTGCACGCGTCGCAGCCATCGCCTACCCGGAACGCTTTCCACGAAGACTGCAGGGCGCTCTGTGTTAAGGGGAACCTTGAGGGCCAAAGGACGACACCTCCCGTTCCAACCCAAAGGGGCAGGATTAATTAGAATGGGGCGGGGCTACGAGATACAGCGGGCAGCCACGCCCACACTTTTTGCCTTAGGACGCGAGGGCCCCACCCATGTCCCGCACCCGGAAGCGTAGTTAGGAGCATGCTCACTGCTTAAAACGGGGAGGATTACAAAAACAAAAAACAGCAACAAAAAAAAAAAAACGGGGAGGAAGGGGAGCCGGCGATGTGGGTCCCTTGCGAATAGTTATGAGGGCTCTGGATTTAGAAGGGTCGGCGCGTGGCCGGGCGCTGTGGCTCACGGCTGTAATCTCAACACTTTGGGAGGCCCAGGTGGGCGAATCATCGATCACCGGAGGTCGCGAGTTCGAGACCAGCCTGACCAATATGGTGAAACCCTCGTCTCTACTTAAAAATGCGATGGCTCACGCCTGTAATCCCAGCACTTTGGGAGGCCGAGACGGGCGGATCAGAACATCAGGAGTTCCAGACCAGTCTGGCCAATATGGTGAAACTTCTCCACTAAAAATACAAAAATTAGCTGGGCGTCGTGGCAGGTGCCTGTAGTCCCGGCTGCTCGCAAGCCTGAGGCAGGAGAATCGCTTGAGCCCGGGAGGCGGAGGTTGCCAAGTTCGCGTCACTGCACTCTAACCTTTTAGCGAGACTCCGTCTCAATTAAAAAAATAACAGTAAGGCCAGGCGCGGTGGCTCAAGCCTGTAATCCCAGCACTTTGGGAGGCCGAGGCGGGTGGATCACAAGGTCAAGAGATCGAGACCATCCTGGTCAACATGGTGAAACCCCGTCTCTACTAAAAATACAAAAATTCAGCTGGGCATGGTGGCGTGTGCCTGTAATCCCAGCTACTCAGGAGGCTGAGGCAGCTCCCTGAACCCAGGAGGCGGAGGTTGCGGTGAGCCGAGATCGCGCCATTGCACTCCAGCCTGGGTAACAAGAGCGAAACTCAGTCTCAAAATAATAATAATAATAATAACAATAAAAATTAGCCGGGCTGTGGTGGAACACGGCTGTAATCTTAGCTACTCCGGAGGCTGAGGCGGGAGAACCATTTGAACCCAGGAGGCGTATGTTACAGTGAGCCGATCTGGTGCCGCTTAGTTCCAGCCTGGCCGACGGAGGAAGACCCTGTTTCAAAAAATATAATAATTAAAAAAAAAGAAGGGTCGGCGTTTTGATGCGTCTTCCTACTGCCTTGTTTTATGGTAGCAGGAAGTGCAGCTTTTATTTTACTTTTTATTTTCTTGAGACACGATTTGTCACCCAGGCTGGAGTGCAGTGACGCCTCGACTTTCCGGGCTTAAACGCTTCTCCCGCTTCAGCCTGCAGTAGCTGGGACTACAGGCGCATGCCATCAAACCTGGTTAATATTTTTTTTGTAGAGACAAGGTCTCACTATGTTGTTTAGGCTGGTCTCGAACTCCTGGGTTCAAGCAATCCTCCTACCTCGGCCTCCGAGTCCGAAAGTGCAGCTTTTAATTCTAATTATATTTACTAGGGGTCTGGATCTAGAACTGGCACGAAGTGATAATTCAAAAATAAAAAGGGTGCCTTTTAGGATAGACATTGAGATTAAGATTTTGAAAAATGCAGCCTTGACTCGAAAGTAACGGGGCCAGTCTTGGTTGTGGAAAGAGTGGGAGTGTGGCGCTTTTTTTTTTAAAGAGATGGGGCTGGGGGTTGGCGGGGTGGGGGGTGTTAGCTCACGGTGTTACCCAGGCTGGTCTCGAACTTCTGGCCTCAAGCGATTCTCTTGCCCTGGCCTGCCAATGTGTTGGGACTACGGGCATAAGCCACGGCGCCCGGCCGGAAGTGTGGCTTTCATAGACACAGGAAGTGTGGCGTGAGGATTCGCCTCTGGGTTTATTTTTGATTGATTGATGCGAAAGGCGTGGCTTGTCGATAACGCGATACCAGGTTGTGAATGAGCGTTGGGGTACTCGGAAGCGTGGCTTACTCCAGTGCGGTGTTTTCGTAGAGTCCGGAAGTGTGGCTTCATTTACGATTCGGAACGTAGGACGGAGACTGCATCTAGAGATACAGATTCCCAACGGATTTGACGACGGTGTTTGATCTTGAATGGAATTGTAGTTTCAGGCCAGTCATAGGTTTCTGAACACGATAGTAGGTATCCGGAGTCGATTGAGGACCAGAGCAGGAACCAGGGTTCGGATCCTGGGCAAAGTTCCCCACCTTGAGGGTCCCGAGGACGCCTAGATCTCTTTCCCAGGACTATGGCGAACCCGAAGCAGCTGGCACTGGAGCTAAGCGAGGCGGAGACGATGGGTGCTGATTCGGCGCGATTTGAGGAGCTGCTGTTGCAGGTGCACAGTGACCGGACCCCCGGATCTCTGGGTATTCGGGGATTTTGGCGGGGTGCTCAAAGATGGGACTACAGTTCCCAGAATGCACTAGGGCGGCAACTGGGCCTCGGGGAATTGAGGATGAGCTTCAAGTTTGCTAAGAAACGGGAGTGGAGTTGGAGATGTTCTTCTAGTCCTCAAAGGAGAAAGGGGACCTAAATCGTCTAGTTTCTGGCATTATCCACGGCCCTCATACATAATCATTGCTCCATTTGAGGAACAAATGAGGGGTCTGATGGCACAGACTCCAAACCTGGAGGTAGTTTTCTTTTATACAGGCCTCTAAGGAGCTCCAGCAAGCCCAGACAACCAGACCGGAATCGACACAAATCCAGCCTCAGCCTGGTGAGAAAGAACACCCGGAGAGAGAGGGACAGGAGACAGAGGGGAAAAAGGAAAGAGACATGAAAATAAAGGCCTGGGGTAGGGGTGGGGTGAACAGACACCACCAGACATCACCCTGGGACAGAAAGGAGGTAGGGGACAGGAATCGGAGATAGGAAGATGCTCGGCTTGGTGGCACACACCTGTAATCCCAGCTACTTGGGACGCTGAGACAGAATTGCTTGAACCCAGGAGGCAGAGGTTGCACTGAGCGGAGATTGTGCCACTGCACTCCAGCCTGGGTGACAGAGAGAGACTATGTCTCAAAAACAAACCAAAACAAAAAACAACAACACAATAAAGATAGTAAGAGAGGCTGGGCACAGCGGCTCACACCTGTAATCTCATCACTTTGGGAGGCTGGGGCAAGAGGATTGCTTGAGGCCAGGCGTTCAAGACCAGCCTGTGCAACATCTCGAGATCCCATCGCTACTAAAAATAAACAAAATTAGCTGGGCTTGGTGGGCGCGTGCCTGTAGTCATAGCTACTCAGGAGGTTGAGGTGGGAGGATCACTTGAGCCAGGTGGAAGAGACTGCAGTGAGCCAAGATCACACCACTGTACTCCAGCCTGGGTGACGCAGTGAGACCCCATCTCAAAAAACAAGTGGCCGGGCGAGGTGGCTCACGCCTGTAATCCCAGCACTTTGGGAGGCCGAGGCGGGAGGATCACCTGATGTCAGGAGTTTGAGACCAGCCTGGCCAACGTGGTGAAACTCCACCTCTACTAAAAATACAAAACTTAGCTGGGTGTGATGGCGGTCGCCTATAATCCCAGCTACTTGGGAGGCTGAGGCAGGAGAGAATCGCTTGAACCCATGAAGGTGGAGGTTGCAGTGAGCTGAGATCGTGCCACTGTATTCCACCCTGGGCAACAAGAGTGAGGCTCCCTCTAACCACCACCTTCATGGGTTAGAATTGCTTGAACCCAGGAGGTGGAGTTTGCAATGAGCTAAGATCGCAGCACTGCACTCCAGCCTGGGTGAGAACGTGAGACTCTGTTTTAAAAAAAAAAAAAAAAAAAGGTGAGGGATCTCAGGGGTAGGGAGTGGAACAGGCCCAGAAAATGGGGGACAGAGCAAAAGGAAAAGAGATGAGACTGGAGAGAATGGATGGGGACTGAGACTTGTGCAGAAAAAGATTCTCATGACAAACCCACTCCCACCAGGTTTCTGCATAAAGACCAACTCCTCGGAAGGGAAGGTTTTCATCAACATCTGTCACTCCCCCTCCATCCCTCCTCCCGCCGATGTAACCGAGGAGGAGCTACTTCAGATGCTGGAGGAGGACCAAGCTGGGTTTCGCATCCCCATGAGTCTGGGAGAGGCTCATGCAGAGCTGGACGCAAGTCAGTGCCGTCAGAGGACCCCGGAGTCTGGCCTGCTAGGCCCTTTCTTCCCTAGAACCCAAGAATCCTGGGCCCAGGACCCTCCTCCCAGCTCCTGGAGATCTGCCTCCCCAATCTGATTCTTTTCCCTGTGGTAGATCTCTAGTGCCCTGGGCATCCCAACCCTGGGCAGTCCTGATTCTGCCCCCTAGCCAGACTGGCACTTTTCCATGCCCCATCCCAGGGCCTGGAGGCCTGGGCAGAGTGCTCTTTGTGCATTAGTGGATCTCCTGGCTTTAGTCCTGAGCAGATTGTCGTTTTTTTTTTTTGAGATGGAGTTTCACTCTTGTTGCCCAGGCTGGA